CACTTGGGCTGTTCCTGAGTGTGCTTTGTGAAAGTCAGCAATAGGAAAATGATTTGAGTGTAGTCTGGATGACAGCTCTATGGTTCTGCTAATTAATTAGCTCAAGTTTATTGGTCTTATTGGTCTTATTGATCTTATTGGTCTTATTGACCTTTAATCAAGTCTGCCCCATACGATTTTATTTTTTTTGGGAGATATTTCATTGTCTGGGTTATTCCAGTTCCAGCAGACTGGCACCACAAAACTAATCATTTTAATGACAAAACTTCATTCACTTGTCTACCAGGACCTTTACTATATTTGTTGTAGTTTGTTTTTCTTTAAAGACCTTTTTTTGTTTGTTTTTTTTTTCCCCCTAACCAAACTTTACCTCAGGAAATCTTTTCTTCTTGACTCACTAACCTCTGATTGCAAGTTATGTGAAAAGCAGTAGCTTTAGCACAGCAGAATAGACCTGTCCTGATTTGAAATTCTTAACAAACCAGCAGTCCCTAAGACTTTCTGACCTGGACTTTTATCTTACCACAGCCCACAGACTCAAAACAATTCTACACATGTCCAAATTCTCAGAAGCACCTTCTGAAAAACCATGCTTTCTAAAAAGCACGTACCTTCTGACTTTCTTTATGTCTGTCTCTGAAGGACTGGTTCTGGTACACCTTTTTTAAGCACACCTTATTGGGAGAGTTCCAAAATAACATTTGCTGAAGGACTATATTTCAAAAGCTCAGATTCCTACAGGACTGAATGATATAAAGGGATAAAACCAGCTCTGAGTAGGTTTTGCTACAAGTTGTTGCTCTGGGGCTATGAAAGTAGAATTAGCAGGGAGTTCTGATTAACAGCCAAGATACAACTCAAAAGTACCTAATTCTGGTGCCCAGTTGTTCATTAAAAATTCACACAGTTGTTACAGGCTCCTCTGGAAGGTATTCACTGTAGAACATGTTGTTGCTTCCAATTTGGGTTTGTACAGTTAAGCAAGTCACACTGTTTTCCTGTCAGTGAAAGAGAGATTACTCAACAAACAGTGGACGTGGAGCAAAAATTTGCCTCACTGTAAAGCAGGCACATTTCTTTTTTAATAGTGTCCTGAATTCCATAAGCTTGACTGTAACCAAAACAAAATACATACACTGGAGGTACCTAAAAGTTAGGAAGGATAAATCCCACCGGAGTTTATACATCCTGGTCGGGGCCCCTCCCCGGGCAGATGGAGCTCGTTAGCCCATAAGGCAATCCATCTACGTCCTGAGGACCTCGCTGCCACCGTCCAAGCGTGCTTGGCCCCGGCAGATGAACCTCAGGATTAAAGGGTGGGCTCAGTTCCGCGCACACTGTGTCTCACCTAAAAAATCCAATGCGCAGGCTGGAA